AATTTACATTTTAAACGCAAAAGAAAGTGGTCATAATTAGCTAACTGTGCGTTACTAATGAAGCGATTAAATCGTCAGAATTAAAAAAAAAATATTAAATCGTTTTTTGCAGAGGCAGATAATATTTAGTCGTTTATAGAATTCCATTCTTGGAATTATTGGAACATTGACGGACCCATGCTTTTTTTTAAATCAAAGAAAAAAATAAAAAATTTGGCGGTTGGCAATGTTAGTCATTTAATTTGTTCCAAGTAGATTTGTTTGCATCAATTTTTGAATATGATATCTCTCAAATGGCCGCCTCTGGCGTTGATGACGTATTGTACCCTTTATGCTGCATTTTACATCGTTTTTGCCAACATTTCGGCCGGAATAGCGGCTATTTCTTCACGAATGTTGTCCTTGAGCTCTTCTACGGTCCTTGGCTTGTTAACGTAAACCTTTGACTTCAAATATCCCCACAAGAAGAAGTCAGGCGGCGTCAAATCGGGCGAACGCGGTGGCCAGTCCAAATCACCACCTTTCAACATCAAACGGCCAGGAAACAAATTCTTCAGAAAATCGATTGTTATGCGACTTGTGTGCGGTGGAGCGCCGTCCTGATGAAACCAGAACTGCCTCTCGACGAGTAATTGGCATCCCAAAATTGGTCATCATGTCGCGATAACGCTCCTGATTGATGGTAACTGCATGGCCATTTTCATTTTGGAAGAAAAACGGCCCAATAACCGTTTTCGCACTAACGCCGCACCAAACTGTGACTTTTTCGTCATGAAGAGGCACTTCTAGAATTTCCTGAGGATTTTCAGTGACGTAAAAACGGCAACTTTGCTTATTTACGGTCCCATTCAATGTAAAAAGGGGCTTAATCGGACATGATAATTTTGTTCCAAAATTGCTCGTCATCTTCGGCCATTTCGATGACTCTTTGGTCCCATTCCAATCGACGAGGCTTGTCCGCAGGCAACATTCTTTGCGTCAATTGAATTTTGTACTGGAACAAATGCAAATCAATGCGAATAATCCGTTGTAAAGTGGACCGAGCCATGCCCAACTGCTGAGAACGGCGTTTTTGGGATGTTCTAGGGGACCTCTCAACACTGGCTCGTACGGCAGCGATATTCTCGGCCGATCGCCTTGGTCGACTTTTATATGGCCTCTTCGGATTAGAAAGAGCCTTACCAGTCGAACATTTTTCGTATAAACGCTTAATGGTGTTCTTAGAAGGCGCACTTCTCACATTTTTTAATGTTTTAAAAGCACGTTGAGTTTTCACAATTGACTTCTTCTGTTGAATGTAAATCTCAACTATTTGAGAGCGCTCGCGTGGTGTGTATTGGTTCATGGTAAAACTCTGCTTGGACTGACGCTTCAAACGCGGTATGTCATTAAGCGATGTGACATCTCTGTCAAAAGTTATGGCGTTGCCAGATGGGTCCGTCGAATATGGGCAACCCTGTATGATGCCCTTCACCACTTTGAGTATATTCTACATATGCATCCGTACAATTGCATGTCAATGTTGCCTCGATGAAACATGCTCATGTCTTTCTGCAACCTATGATAGATTTACGCTGTGCCAGATTTCGTGTACATCGAAAGATATATATGGGGACTTTGGAGCACCATTTACCTAAAATCGGACGAAAATATATATGGGAGTTATAACTAAATCTGAACCGATTTTCTACAATTTCAATAGGCTTCGTCCTTGGGCCAATTAAGTGACCTGTGCCAAATTTTATCCAAATCGCATCATAAATGCGACCTGTACTATGTTAACAAAAATACATAGACGGACGGACGGACATGCATAAATCGACTCAGAAAGTGATTCTATGCATATTCTCAAAAAGAACCATGGGCCTATCTCGATTCTTTTTGCCTGTTACAAACATATGCACAGAGACATAATACCCTGTACCACCTGTGTGGTGAAGGGTATAATTAATAAATTCCTCAATCCCATCCAAAGAGAAATTTTCTTATGGTCATAAAAAATCCACCTGCCAATAGCCACCACCAATAATATTTGGAGCACCTCAAAAACGTTTCGATTATAAATATCGAATAAAATTATTTACATTCTCAATTTATTGTTTACATTGCGATCCCATGAAACCGTATTACTCATATTCCATATAGATTCTTTGCAAAAAATCACAAGAATTCCAGAAAAAAGTGAAATAAAACGAATGTCCAGTAATCTCCATCATACGATTAAATATTTTAAAAAATACTTCTGTTTCAGCATAAAATACAATTAATTAAAAATTCCTGACACGTACAGAGAATGTCAATGAAGGTAGTAAAAATATATAAAAAAAATAAATAAACTCAAAAAAGAAGTCCACTTTAATATGGCCAAGAGATATATTACCAAGATTGCAGAATAGCCTTAAAGCAGAAATTCCTTTTTATTATTTTTTGTTTTTATTTCACGGTTGTGTATTTGGCCAAAAGGGAAAAATTGTTGTTTATTTTACGCATTTTTATTTACGATTTTCTTGCCTTCTGTTCGTCATTATAGAATTGAAGTGTTAAAATAAACATCAACTAATGTCATTATCCCCTAAATTAAACTAAACAAATAAATCCATGCCTTTCGAAAATTGTCACGGTATTTGGAAATGATTTTTGAATTTTGGATTTTTTTATTGATTTAAACCAAATACAAAAAATTAGTTATGCTATGCAAAAATAATACGATTTTCAAATACTTTCTATAATTGGTCATATAAAACGCCATTAAAATAGCCGGCATAATTTTTTTTTTGTTTTGGGGATTCACAATTGAATTTATAATAATTTTTTTGCGTTTGAATTGGATAAGTTCACTCAACTTTTATTGTTTGATGGATTGTATATTCATCATAAGTTGTTGTTATTATTGAGACAGAATTTGCTTAAGTAAAAGAAAAAATATGAAATTTAAGAAAAATAAAAAAAATTTAAGAAAAATAAATAAAAAAATGTTTTTAAAAATATTTTTTCAAGCTACTAACATAGGCGTGGACTTTCACCGTTAGGAATAATTTTCTGGGTCCTCCCCTTCTTCCAAATTTCGGACGTCATCTACCTCTTTTCTGAGTAGTTACAAAATCTGAATTGTCTTCGTTAATAATATAATACAAGTCTCTGATTCTTTCTGCAGTTAATAGTACCTCCTCTTCTTTATCAACTATAACTGCGTCGTACTTTCGAAATTTGACCTCGTAAACCTTATCTGTTATTTTCGACACTGACAGCAAATTCGTTTTCAAGTCTGGTGGTACATAAAGAATGTCTTCTAATTTCACATTTGTTTCAGAAGCCCCATTTTCACCGAGATTTAAACATTTCCGATTCCACATGTCTTTGTACGATTCTTGTTACCACATAGGCGTTAGACTTTCACCGTTTTGAATAATTTTCTGGATCTTCCCCGTCTTTCAAATTTCGGACGTCCTCTACATATTTTCTGGGTAGTTACAAAAATCTAAATTTTCTTCGTTAATAATATAATACAAGTCTCCGATTCTTTCTGCAGTTAATAGTACCTCATTTTCTGTTTGAAAAATAGTCAGGCTGAATCCCAGTTTATTGTTTTAATAAAAAAAAACTATTTTGCAAACACAAAATACAAATGGTATCTCAAATAACCCGACAACACTACTGAAGTTGTAGACTCAGGCACAGTTCCTCATTTTATTTATCAATTATAACTGCGTCGTATTTACGAAATTTGACCTCGTAACCCTTATCTGTTATTTTCGACACTGACAGCAAATTCGTTCTCATTAGAGTTGGGCAATCTAGTTCACTTAGTGTTCCTTTGTTCCATATAGTTCATTTACTCCATAGAGTTCATTTACTCCATACAGTTCCTTTGCTCCTTATATTTCCTTTGCTCCAAATATTTCCTTTCCTCCATATAGTTCCGACTCCTACAAAGTTTCTTTGAATTTCTCTCCTTTATCGTTCTTTTTGTTTTTTTTTTTCGTTTTTCCCATATAGTGTCTTCCTTTGCTTCATATAGTTCGGACTCCTACACAGTTCCTTTGCTTCATATAGTTCCGACTCCTACATAGTTCCTTTACATCTCTCTCTTTCATCGTTCTGTTTTTGTTTTTTCCATGTATAGTTCCTTTGATCCATGTAGTTCCTTTGGTGCATTTAGTACCTTTACTCCATACAGTTCCTTTGCTCTTAACAGTTCCTTTGCTCCAAATAGCTTTGGGTAATTTGTCCCTTGTTTCTAGGGCACAACGAAACGTTCCGAACGATTCTGGTAAACTATATAGAAGTAAAATCGCCAAAAGTTCATCTCCAATTAAAACGCCAATTTCTTATATAGAAAAAATCATTTAAATGTTCTCGTACATTATCGCCGTCACGCATTCTTGACAATGCGACTATTTTCAACAATGTAGCCTTCCTCGCAGGCTTTTTCGATTGATACGTTGATTCCAATCTCAAGCAGATTTCCCTTTTACACTCTGCTATCAAATATAAAAATTTTTTTCCGAATTACGTTCAGCCCTTAATAATATAACATTTATTGGTTCTCTTATTTCAGCTCCTCCACCATCACCACTCAATGGAAATGATGTCAAAACATCCCACAATCGTACCAGCCGTCAGCTGTTCTACAGCCCGAATTTCTTTTATATACAAAATATTGGTGCCGAAGGTTCCAGATGTATAACATCACGTGGCCTGGTGGGTATCTGCATGGGTTTCGATAAATGTGCCATCGAAAGTCGCGGCAGACGTCGTCGCCATTTGACCTACTACAGCTTGGCGCCACAATATCCCTACTTTACACCCTATATACAACCACAACAACCCGATGAATTGTGTACATATTTTGATCAATATGCTCGCACCAGTTCGGGTGTATGCTGTACAAGTATTAATAACATTGTGCCCATTGGGTCGGGAGAACAACCTTTCCAACCGCCTAATCCCAATCCCACACCAAGTCAACCTGAAGCGACCACAACAATGAATGGAGAAAATGATTCCCCTTCGAAAGAGGTCACCATGAATCCCATGGATGTCATTAAAGAAAATGAAAGCTCTGAGGATTCCGATGTCATAGAGCCACCAGCCAATTTTAACTATGAACCCGAACCACCGAAATACGATGAACCCTCTTCACAGGAGGGTAACAATATTGGCTACGACCCGATTGATGAAAGTTTGAAACAGGCACCAAATTACCAGGACTTCATACGCTACCCTTGGCCATCACAATTTTTGGGCTTCTCGGGTGTGCAACAATGGCCACCACCATTGCCAACCCATCCACCATCATCCGTTTCCAATTGGCCACCACCATTGCCAACACATCCACCAAATCATCATTATCCAACACATCCTCCTTCGACCATTGGAGGACAATTTGTTCCAGCAACCACTAAGAGGCCGATCACGTCACTGACTACCAAGCGTCCAACATATAGGCCAGTTGTGACGACAACAACCACCACCACAACAAGGAGACCACCAAGCTCCTCGGGAAGTGGTGTATCGTCGAATGGTTTACCTTTGCAGTGTGGCATGATTGGTCCCGATCAGGAACGTATTGTTGGCGGTACAAATGCCAGTCCTAACGAATTCCCATGGATTGCGGTTATTTTCAAATCGGGTAAACAATTTTGTGGTGGCAGTTTGATAACTAATGTAAGTGGCGAAGAGAGGAGGAGGGGTAAGCAGGATTTGGAATGGTTTTTGCTAATCAATTTTTATTTTTCTAATTTTTCAGAGCCATATTTTGACCGCTGCTCACTGTGTGGCCAGGTAAGATACAAGTCTTTTAAAAATTTTTTTTAAAATCCAAGTCTGTGTTGGGACCCTTAAAAATATTTTTTGAAACAATTAAAAAATCCACGCCTGTGCTGGGAACCTTAAAATATTTTTAAAAAATCCAGGGTCCCAGCACAGGACCCTTAACATTTTTTTTAAATCCACGTCTGTTCTGGGACCCTCAAACATATTTTTGAAATATCTTAGATTGTGCTGAGATCCTCAAACATATTTTTTAAAAAATCTAAGTCTATGCTGGGCCCTTTAATGTGCTTTTAAAAATTCTATGACTTTTCCACAAATAATCTTTAAATACCTTATTTAAAGAAGTGCTGACAGCTCCGAGAATAACTTCCCAATAACAAAATCTGGCAACATGAGTTAATAAAAATTAAATAAAGCATACTTTTAGGGATAATAGAAATTCGATGAATTGCCACGGGTATCTGCGGAACGATATAGATTTTTTCTTTTTATTTCATTTTACTTTTGTATATTAATTTTCCTGGAGACTATGTAGACCCTAGTCTTCTGAGCGGTTACGATTTCTTTTTATTTTAGTTTACTTTTGAATTGGATTTTTCCTGAAGAAAAGTGGTTCCCTTTCTTCCGAAGTGATTTCGATTTTTTCTTTTTATTTCATTTTACTTTTGAATAGGATTTTTCAATATGGAAACTGGTTCCTTTTCTTCTGAATTTCCGCGATCTGTAATGAAAAATTATTTGGAATTAGGAAAGGATTTTTGTAGAAGAATATGCAAAGTCCATGTCTATTAGATATTTTTCTATGATAGTAGTCCAATTCTATGATCATTAATACCAGACTTAGAGAGTCCTCTTTCGATATTAGAGAGTCCACTGAATTAATTAATTAATTGAACCTGTTTTCAGAATGACTTCTTGGGATGTTGCTGCCTTGACTGTACACTTGGGTGACTATAATATACGCACGGATTATGAAGTTCAACATGTCTCACGCAGAGTCAAACGTTTAGTAAGACACAAAGGATTTGATTTTAGCACCTTGGTAAGGGAACATTGAATTGAAATAATATTCACGAAAATGAATTCTAAAATTTCCTTTCTCTTCCCCAGCACAACGACATCGCAATTTTGACACTAAGCGAACCGGTGAAATTCACCAAGGAAATCCAGCCGATTTGTTTGCCTACCTCACCGGCCCAACAAAGAAGTTCCTATAGCGGTCAAATTGCCACAGTTGCAGGATGGGGTAGCTTGCGTGAAAATGGTCCCCAGCCATCCATTTTACAAAAGGTGCAAATACCCATTTGGAATAATGCCGAGTGTGCTGCTAAATATGGTAGAGCTGCTCCGGCGGGTATTATTGAGTCAATGGTTTGTGCCGGTCAGGCTGCCAAGGATTCGTGTAGTGTAAGTATTTTCAAAAATTATTTAGATTTAATATAAATCTATAAATATTATTATTTTTGCAGGGTGATTCGGGTGGTCCAATGATTGTCAATGAGGGTGGCCGTTATGTCCAGGTTGGCATTGTTTCGTGGGGCATTGGTTGCGGTAAAGGACAATATCCCGGTGTTTATACCCGAGTCACATCTCTATTGCCTTGGATTTATAAAAATATCAAATAAGGGAGTATCTTTGGGGAAACGACAATGATAAACGATCAATTGTAAAACGATTTATGGAATTCACAGAAGAAAAAAAATAAAATTTAGTAAAATATACGTACATACTTATATGTAATGATCGAATTTTTTGCGAATAAATATTCAATAATAATTTTAAGAAGTGATATTTTTGTGAAATAAATAATAAAAAAACATTTGTATGTATAATTAAAATACTATGGTTTTATTTATCAGCATATCAGAATGAATGAAAAAACTGTTGAAAGAGCTTCAAAAATAATTTGAAAAACTCTGCATCTTTTCTAAGCGCTTCCAAACTAATTTGAAAAACTCTTCTATACGATTCAGAAAAAATTTTAAAAAAATCCACTGCTTTTTTAAAACCTTCACAAATATTTTTAAAAAATCCACGCCTTGTATTAGGACCTTAGGACTTTAGAAAAATATTTTTAAAAAATCCACGCCTTGTATTAGGACCTTAGGACTTTAGAAAAATATTTTTAAAAAATCCACGCCTTGTATTAGGACCTTAGGACTTTAGAAAAATATTTTTAAAAAATCCACGACTTGTGTTAGGACTTTAGAAACATAATTTTAAACCTGTGAGCGGAACAGAATAGTCGGACGGGGCCGACCATATGATACACGACACAACTTCCACGAAAATCTAACTTTGTGTGGTTCTATATTCTGAGCTTGGGCAATATTTCGTGATATTTGCACCCTCTTGACCGACTAGAGGTCAACAAATTCAGTACAGCCCTTCTAATTACTTGTCCAGATTCACTATAGATCGACTCGAAAAAAAAAAAAACAAAAAAATAATTATTCGGTCTAATTCATTTCAAAATTAGTATCTGATCATCACCGAAAATTGAATGCTTTGTCCTTGACCATCCAAGTATGGTATCATGAAAAAAATCAAAGCGATAAGGCTTTCGTCCTCTAGTGTGGTAATGGTTTAAGCATCTGTAAATATTTAAGTGTAACTCCCACATCCGAAAATATAATTGCTATCAGTTTATAGTTCAACCACTCCTTTTGGATGTACTGTCAACTTCTTGGGTCTATGCCCTTCAGGAGTTAAATATATATGCCATAAAATACCAATTTTGTCATTATTCACACAAAAGTCAGGGTCCATTTGAGCCGCGAAGTAATGACCGATCTTTATCAAAACAGGCATGCTTATTCTTTGGCCCGATTACATTCTCCATGTAAAAATTCGCGATGTTTGGGTCATAATTGCGGCCTCTGGAGCGACCAGAAAAACCGACAAAAAATAAGTATTTGGTCCATTTCATCCCCTAAATATTAACCGATCTTTACCAAAGACAATAGGGATCTTTATTGGCCAGAACCCATCCTACATGCAAAATTTGATGAAGATTGCTCCATAGCTGTGGCCTGTGTCGTATTTACAAATTATAATGGACAGACAGACGGACGGATGGACACACATGTCTGGATGGACTCAGCTAGTCGAGATATGACGATCGGTATACTTAAAGGTGGGTCTAGGACCAATATTTCGCAGCGTTACAAACTCTTGGGGCTGCACAAGGCTACATCATACTTGTGTAGGGTATAAGAATCCAATGCAATTCTCCTATTGGAATAATTTCTCATTAAGAAAATCTGGCATCTTATTCGAAATTAGAAAACAAAATATAAAGCATAGATTAGGGGATAACTATTAATAGAATATCAATTGATCCCTTAAGGTATGCTACAAAAACTTATTGCTCACTGCACAGTTGCTCATTTTGGTATGAAAACGAAAAAAAAAATCGAAACCTCATCATTATCTAGCTAATAATGATCGACAAAATAGATAAATATCCAAACACTTCATGAAAAATTAACAACAGCCTAATGGCTCGTAAATGGTCGGCGTATTTGATTTTTTCTTTTTATTTCATTTTACTTTCAAGCACTCTGAAAAAGACAGAAATGAATCAGTCAAAATTGGATCAATGAACCATTTTTTGATTGTCAAGGTTAATAATTATTAGCACGTTGTTGATCATTAATAATTTCCTTTAGAAAAAATATAACAACAAAAACAAATACCATACAATGTATCATTTCAGGCCATTTGAAATGAACAAAATGTCAGATAGAACAACAACACCGCCAATAAAAACCATTGACAGATGTACTTAGCCTCAAAAGAAAAACAAAGAGAAGAATCTCTAGAGATGATGACATGTGTCTTTTGGGGGGATCAATAAAGAAAATCGAAGAAAATTTCCATTTGATGTGCATTCAATAATCGGAAATTGCCAATATATTATTCAAAAATAATGTCTGCAAATTCTCAATTAAAAACCATTAAAGAAATGGGCACTGAATATTTTCCTAATGCCATTGGAGGTGGAGAGCCGAGGAAAAACGTGCAACGAATTGCATTAAAAATAAATTAGAGACACCGTCACATTTTTTTCACTAACAAGTTATTTGCAACAAATGTCAATGTTCTGTAAAAATGCTACCGAATCGGACGGACGGACCCACGAAGGCAACTAGATTCTTTTCGATTTAGTTGTCCACACCCAAGGAAAGGCCCAAACAAATAGGCGATTTTTTGTTCGGCACAAGTGTGTGAGTCTTAATGCCAAACAAAATAGCTACATAAACATTCGGTGGAAAAACTAATTGTGTATTATCTAAAAAAATAGCAGCAGCAACAACAGCAAGTAGACGAAAAATCAAATAAGAAAAAAAATGAGAATACTAAAATGTTCTTTTGACGCACATCAGCATGGGCTACTCTATACACGCAGAGGAAGCTGAAAAAGCAACAAGTACGCAATTCAACAGTGATGTACACATAATATACACATCTGTATGTGTGTCCTAAATTCATTGAGGTCTGCTCGTTATGCTTCTGGAAATAAATTTCTAGTTAAAATCAATTGAATATGAATTGCAAAGAACATTTTGGGTAATTATGAGAACCAGACAATCTCAGAGATAAAAATAAAAAAATATACTTACCTAGATTCTACAAGGATATTTGGATCCTGAAAATAAAAACAACAAATATTAAAATTAAAAAAATGGCCTGAATTTTGTTTAAATATTTTTTATGCTCGTGGATTTAAAAAAAAAAACTTATAGGCGTGGATTTTTTAAAAATATTTCTCTAAGGTCCTAAAGAAGATTTTTAGGTTTAAAGAAGGTTTTCTGGTTTAAAGAAGATTTTCTCAGGAAACCCAAGATTTAGAGGCAAACCTCTCAGCAAACCTCTGTCTCAGAGGCGTGGATTTTTAAAGAAGATTTTCTCAGGAAACCCCGGTCTCAGATGCGTGGATTTTTAAAGAAGATTTTCTCAGGAAACCCAAGACTTAGAGGCGTGGATTTTTAAAGAAGATTTTCTCAGGAAACCCAAGACTCAGAGGCGTGGATTTTTAAAGAAGATTTTCTAAGGAAACCCAAGGCTTAGAGGCGTGGATTTTTAAAGAAGATTTTCTCAGGAAACCCAAGACTCAGAGGCGTGGATTTTTAAAGAAGATTTTCTAAGGAAACCCAAGGCTTAGAGGCGTGGATTTTTAAAGTAGATTTTCTAAGGAAACCCAAGGCTTAGAGGCGTGGATTTCTAAAGAAGATTTTCTAAGAAAACCCAAGGCTTAGAGGCGTGGATTTCTAAAGAAGATTTTCTAAGGAAACCCAAGGCTTAGAGGCGTGGATTTTTAAAAAAGATTTTCTGAGGAAACCCAAGGCTTAGAAGAGTGAATTTCTAAAGAAGATTTTCTAAGGAAACCCAAGGTTTGGAGGCGTGGATTTCTAAAGAAGATTTTCTAAGGAAACCCAAGGCTTGGAGGTGTGGATTTCTAAAGAAGATTTTCTAAGGAAACCCAAGGCTTAGAGGCGTGGATTTCTAAAGAAGATTTTCTAAGAAAACCCAAGGCTTAGAGGTGTGGATTTCTAAAGAAGATTTTCTAAGGAAACCCAAGGCTTAGAGGCGTGGATTTCTAAAGAAGATTTTCTAAGAAAACCCAAGGCTTAGAGGTGTGGATTTCTAAAGAAGATTTTCTAAGGAAACCCAAGCCTTAGAGGCGTGGATTTCTAAAGAAGATTTTCTAAGAAAACCCAAGGCTTAGAGGTGTGGATTTCTAAAGAAGATTTTCTAAGGAAACCCAAGGCTTAGAGGCGTGGATTTCTAAAGAAAACCCAAGGCTTAGAGGTGTGGATTTCTATAGAAGATTTTCTAAGGGAACCCAAAAAACCACGCCTCTGTCTCAGAGGCGTGGATTTTTAAAGAAGATTTTCACACCAAACCTCTGTCTCAGAGGCGTGGATTTTTAAAGAAGATTTTCTCACCAAACCTCTGTCTCAGAGGCGTGGATTTTTAAAGAAGATTTTCTTAGAAAACCTCTGTCTCAGAGGCGTGGATTTTTAAAGAAGATTTTCTTAGAAAACCTCTGTCTCAGAGGCGTGGATTTTTAAAGAAATTTTTCTTGGGAAACCTCTGTCTCAGAAGCGTGGATTTTTAAAGAAGATTTTCTTAGGAAACCTCTGTCTCAGAGGCGTGGATTTTTAAAGAAGATTTTTTTAGGAAACCTCTGTCTCAGAGGCGTGGATTCTTAAAGAAGATTTTCTCAGGAAACCTCTGTCTCAGAAGCGTGGATTTTTAAAGAAGATTTTCTTAGGAAACTTCTGTCCCAAAGGCATAGATTTTTAAAGATTTTCTCAGGAAACCTCTGCCCCAAAGTCGAGGATTTTTAAAGAAGGAAACCACAGGCCTCTTTGTGTGCTATATAATTATTCTTAGGTGTATTTGTAGTTAACAAAATAATCAATTGAGTGTTTTGTTTGCGTTCGGCTACCGAAAAAAAACACATCATCAACTTCTAGACACTGAACATTAGATTTAAAATAAGCCATGAACGCTGAAACTAAATAAACTTTTTTTTAAGAAAACAAAATCTAAGTACATTATAGCTCCTCTATGCTTGTGCTAGCCTCACTTGCTAATGTTTATGCTCTCAAAACGC